CTTGAGGAAGAACTTCAGACATTGTATTCAGTCTATTGATTGATGAGGTGGCGAGGAGGAGGAGGAACCCGAAGTAGAAGTGGGCTGTTGTCTTCTTCTCTCTCCTTTGTTTATTCTCCCTCTCTCCTCCTTCGTCTGTGTATGATTCTCATCTCATTCTATTATCACACACATTTGCGATTGTTTGTCATTCATCAGCAGATCGATAATCATATGGACTGGTAATGTTGACGAGTATCATCACGGCTGGGCTCATTGCAATTTGGTATCGGAGCAGATCTTTCGATAGTGTGACAGAGACGACGACAACAATTGGTGGCATCTACATTGAAGTCGCAGACGTAGACAAGAGACCGCACGTCAGATTCTGACGTGGCATTAACGAGGCATTGACGTGGCCTTGGTATACATGCCCGATGCTGACATGGCATTGAGGTGGGATTGACGTTGCCTTGGTCCACATGTCCGATGCTGACGTGGCATTGACGTGGCATTGATAATAGCGCACGTCATATGCTAACGTGGCATCTACGTGGCATTGATATTTGGAGTGTGCAGTATCGCTGACGTGGCTGGTGTATGTTAGCAGATTGACGATGTGGCATTGCTGACTCACCATTCGGTGAGATAAGAGGCTGACGTGGCAGTGTCATATTCAGTTACCCGGCTTACGTGGCGCGTTGGTACCGCTCCTGACGTGTGCCCCCTCGATGATGTTGACTGGATTACGGTGCTGACGTGGCAGACAAAAGTGCTGCTGTGTTGGCACTCCAGGGGATACACGTGGTAGGTTGGAACTTTGACTTCGGGGCAGGCTGGTACTTCGATTTCAGCATACATTGCTGACGTGCACCCCATTGATGTTATTGATGACCTGCTGACGTGGCATACTCATCGAGTTGCTGAGTTGGCAGGCCAGGGGTGACACGTGGCAGGCACGATCGTGCCTAAGTGAGGAAAGCATTCTAATGACTGAAGCGGCACGACAAGAAGGCTGACGTGGCTGTGGTGCCGAACGTCAGATTGTGTGCTGGTCACACAGGACAAAGAAGGACGAAACAGCAAGAAGGGGAAAACACTAACTATTGATTGATTTTTGTTGGCGGACTTACCTGTTGTCTGGCTGTGTTGTGTACCTGTGTACTCGCTTGTGTTTGTTGTTGATCATGCTGGCTCGGAGTTGCAGTACCTGAGATAGAGAAGGATGTCATCACATTAAAAAACAGAACAGCAAATAGAATTAGAAAACTTTTGTTCCTTATTATGATTATTACTTTTTGAATCAGATAGAGTGTTGGGATAGGTGACCGTGAAATTATTGTCTTTTGCGGTAGAACAGCGTGCTGATTCAGGTGACCGTGAATTATTGTTTATTTTGCGGTAAAATAATCTGGCCAACGAATTTTCGTGTTTCTGTTCTCTCAAGATGTCTTATTTCTGGAAATGTCTGTAACAGTCTATCTTGACGAGATTCCTGACTACTTTTTTGTTTCCTTTTCCGATCACACTTTCCATTGGGGAAGGACCGGTTGAACTCAGGACAAGGGGACAGGCTGACAGAAAGAGAGAGGAATTGTTAGCCTTGTGGAATCAGTTTCTGGTGGAGGTGCAGTTGTCTGGACCGGACGCCGAGCAACACATCCGTGATAATTTTTATCTTCAGGGGGTTGAAGACCGCCTGAAGAAATCTATCACGGCAGTGGAGGTTGTGGCAGCCGGTACAGACGCTTCCAACCTGATTGCTCAAGGGAGACAGGCTCTAGACCAAGCATTTGGAAGAGATCATGGAAGCTACTCGCAAGGGGGAAGAAAAAGCAGAAGTAAGTGAAGAATCGATTGATTCCAATATCCAGCAGCTCAGAGATACTCTGGCTGCCGAAGAAAGAAAAAAGGAAAAATTAGTCAGAAGAAGAGAACAGGAACAGCGAAGGGGACAAAAGGTTAAAGAGATAAGACAAGTCATAGGAACAGAAGTCGGTGAACAGACTGACATGTCACAAATGTTGGCTCATATTGTGACATATCTTACCTTTCTAGAGGAGAAGATTGATAGACAACATAATCAGTTGGATGAAATCACTGTTGGATTGAGAACGATTGCTAATATTGTGAAAGGTAAGAATCAAATTCAGGGAGAAGAAGAACAAGAAGAGAAGAAGGAGAAGAAAGAAGTAAAGAAGTTGATGGGGGACGCAATAAAGTCTGCTGGTCCCGTGATAAAGACAACGACTAATGGAAATGGATCCAATGGAAATGGATCAAGTCCACCATCTACTCCTCACTCTTCTCATTCTTCTAAGTCTACTCCTAAAGGAACTCCAGAAAAGACAAGCACTGAACCCGGAAAACCGAAGAAGAATGAAAAGGTGAAAATGAAGTTGCCGTTTACGTTTTGCAACAAGAAAGAAGAAAGTTTGTTGCTGTGGATTGCAGAAATCCAGACGTACGTGAGTACCGCACCGGTCGAGCCGGAGTCCCAAGTCGCGTTCACCACTTCTTGCATGGGTGGTGAGGCCAAGCAATGGGTGTTGGTCGAGGCCAATACGGCGGGTTTCAAAGATATCGGTGAGTGGGCAAAGACATTGACGCTGAAACAATTCTTTGCGAAAACCAGGGACCGTTTTCTCGACAAGACGATGACCGACAAGGCCTTTGACTAGTTGACGTCAATTGGTCAAAAGCATTGGACGTCAGTTGAGGCTTTGTCCCGAGAAGTTGACCGATTGTTGCAGGTTCCAGGATTGAACCTGCAAGACAGCCAAGTGCTGTACATCTATTCTCGCGTGTTGCCTGAGCCCATCCGGGGACACTTAGTCACTGAAGCAAAACCCGGTAAGTACAACTACAACAATTTCGTAACCTTGCCCTGCAGAGGGAACATATGACTTCTCAAGTCAAAAGTTCCTATGCAGCGGTAGTTAAATCTGGAGGAGGAGGAGGAAGACAATACAATGGAAAACGAGTTCTCTGGCAACAAAAGCGCCAGGACCACACCCTTGTTGTCTTTGATGACGACACAGTGGAAAAGTTGCCGAACGAGGAGAATGATAACAACAGTGACTCCGGGAAGGGGGAAGTCACTGCTGTTGTGGCCAATAAGGGAGGACCACCCAGGACAGGAGGGAAGAGACAAAGAGCGTTTTCGTGGCAGCCTGGCATTGCCGACGGGAAGCCATGGGTGGAAATGGGTATGACTAGAAAGACTTGGCAGGAGCGCATGGACAATGCGCAATGTCTCAAGTGTGGCACACTGGGACATGTGATCGCCTACTGCCCTCAAATCTGGAACCTTAAAGCGAACAGCCAGTAGGAGTAGCATCTGCTCCTACTGAGATTAAGGGTAAGAACGAACAGACAAGTAAGGCGCCTACGACCCCTTCCTACCCTTCTTCTCAATTGGCAGAGGATGATTCTTCCTTAGCCCATCATCCAGATCGCCCTGACATTGTCTTGTGTTCTGTCTCTCTGGATGACTCCCTTGATGAGCTAGGTAACGAATTGCTAGCATTATGTGGCTCATGGACTCGAAAGGCGAAGACTAAGGGCGAGTTGTTGTTTGCAGATGTTGAGATTGCACGAACACGAGTTGGTGCGATGTTAGACCCAGGATCAACGAGATCCTACATCTCCGAGAAGGCAATCCGTAAGTTGCATCTCGGCATGAAGGTAAAAGACTTGTCTCGACCTATAACGTCTATGTTAGCAGACAAGAGTACGATCACTGTCTCTCAGTTTGTTGATCGTATTAAGTGTCAGTTCCGAACGAGGGACGGAAAGAAGATTGTGCATGAACTATCCTTCCTCATAGAAAATAATTTACCTTTTGATATCATTCTGGGTATGGATTGGCACGAAGAAGCCAACCCGGACATTGATTTAAAAAACAAGATTGTGCAACTCAAAGATGCGCAATCAGAAATGAAACCAATTAAATTATATCACAAGTCTGGCTCTGACTCAAGTCTATCTTTTTATTGTATGAGTTATCCAACTTTCCGTTCGATGGTTTCTAAGAAAAAGTTGGAACAGGAAGTTATGTTGGTACTGGTAAAGAAAGCCGGTGAGTCTTCTTCTTCCTGTCCTCCGACGATTGAAAGTCTTCTCTCTGAATATAAGGATCTGCAGAAAGAACCCACCGGAATTACTGAACGTACTATAAAACACACTATTGAGATTATTCCGGGTAGTAAAATTCCCAAGGGCCCTATCTATCGAATGTTTTCAAGGGAACTTGAGGAGTTAAAGAAGCAACTGCAGGACCTTACTGACAAGCGATGGATTCGCCCTAGTTCATCTCCTTATGGAGCACCTGTCTTGTTTGTGCCCAAAAAGGAAGGTGAATTGCGTCTATGTATTGATTATCGAGGGTTGAATGCCGTCACTGTTAAGAATGTCGAACCACTCCCTCGCATCGACGATTTACTTGACCAAGTACAGGGATGCAAGTACTTCAGTAAAATTGATCTGAAGTCTGGGTACCATAAGATCGAGGTGGAGCCCGCGGATCAACACAAGACTGCTTTCTGGACCAGGTATGGCCATTACGAGTTTATGGTAATGCCCTTCGGATTGACTAATGCTCCTGCTACATTTCAACGGTCAATGAACGAGTTGGTTCGTCAATGGTTGGATCAGTTCGTCATCGTCTATCTGGATGACATTCTCGTATATAGTAAAACACTAGAAGAACACGAGAAACATCTTCATCTGGTTTTGAGTAAGTTGCGAGAAGGCAACTTCAAAATCAACCCGAAGAAGTATGAGTTCGCTAAGTCTGAAGTTTTATACTTAGGACATATAGTGAACCAAAATGGCCTTAGGCCTGAAAAAAAGAAAATATCAGCAATTAGAGACTGACCACAACCTAAGTCTGTAACTAAGTTACGATCTTTTCTTGGCTTGGCAAGCTACTATAGAAAGTTTGTCAGGAACTTCTCATTGATCGCTGCACCAATGAGAAGATTGCTAAAGAAAGGAACAATCTGGTTGTGGGATAAAGATTGTGAGTCCTCATTCAAAAAGGTAAAGTACGCTCTGACTCACTACCCTGTTCTGAAAATTGTTGATCCATCTCTTCCCTTTATTGTCACAACTGATGTAAGTCAGTATGGGATTGGCGCAATTCTTCAACAGAACGACGGCAATGGCTACATACCGATTGAGTTTATGTCTGCACGATTGCCATCTGAAAAGCTTGCCAATTCTACCAATGAAAGGGAATTGTATGCGTTAGTCTGTGCCTTAGACACCTGGAAACACTATCTATTAGGGAGACACTTCACTGTGTATTCAGACCACTCTACCCTGAAGTGGATAAAGACGCTTAGGCTCTCTGATAAGCTAGTACGATGGTCTGCATTCATTGATACTTTTGATTTTGAGTTGAACACTATCAAAGGTAAGTCTAACGTGGTTGCAGATGCATTGTCTAGAAGATGTGATTTCTTTGGTGCCATTGTCTTTTACCTAGACGTTGGGAATGATCTGAAAGATAGAATTCGTCAAGGCTATGTTAATGACCCGATGTGGAAACCTATCATGGATGTCCTTGCGAAAGACCCGAGTCTACTTCCCAAGTATAAGGTAATTGATGGTTTGCTTTTCTTGTTAGACCAAAGTGAACAACGATTGTGTATTCCTCACCAGGAAGAAATCAAAAGTCTACTTATTAGGGAATGTCACGACACTGAAGGTCATTTTGGTTTCAAGAAAACTTACGCTGAAATTAGAGAACGCTTTGAATGGAAGGGATTGAAAGAGGATGTACTAACTTATGTTCGTACCTGTCTTGTGTGTCATAGAAACAAACCCTCACATGAGAATCTACTTGGTCTTCTCAGACCATTACCAATTCCAAGCGAACTAGGTGAGTCAATCTCTATGGATTTTATGAGCCTCACAAAAAGTCGAAATGGCAATAGCCAGGTAATGGTAATTGTGGATCGTTTTTCTAAATATGTTATGTTCATTCCCTTGCTTGAAAAAGCCAGAACGGAACTTGTGATCCAAAAGTTTCAGATGCGATGGGTGACTGAGTATGGTTTCCCTTTATCCATTGTATTTGATCGAGATACCAGGTTCACAAGTATGCCATGGCAAAAGTTGATGGAGGCATACGGTACACGTCTAACCAGGTCGTCAGGTAGACACCCTGAAACGAATGGGTAGAGTGAACAAATGAACCGTTTGTGCCAACAACTTTTGCGCATGTATGTAAGACCCGATCAAATAGATTGGGATGAGAACTTACCTAAGATAGCAAGTGCATATAATAGTTGTGTCCATACCTCTACAGGACGAACACCTAATGCATTGCATAAAGGGTGGAAACCTAAGCGTCCCATTGATGTATTGACGAGGGACCAGTTTCTTAGGTTACCTTCAGGGACCGCGAATACGCAGTATTGTTTCAAGAAGACATTAAAAAAGTAAAGGAGAACTTAAAGAAAGCTCAGGACCGGATGATCGAACAAGCTAATAAGCATCGACGACCATCAACGTTCAGAGAAGGTGATTTGGTCTTGGTCAAATCTAAAGATTTTTCACTAGAAGAAAATGTCTCTCAGAAACTTCTGCCTGTCTATTTTGGACCCTGGGAAGTTCTTAAAGTGATTGGAGATGCAGAGGGACCGTCTTACAGAATTGATATACCCCCTCATCTCAGGACCTATTCTGTTTTTCATGCGTCTAAGTTGCTACCTTATGTAGAAGGAGATGAATTCCCCCATAGACCATCTATGATACCGCCAGATATGGATGGTGGATATGAAGTGGACCGAATTATAGAACAAGGGTTCTTCTCTACAGGTGCACGAGGACGATTCCAGAAGCAATTCAAGGTTCGTTTTAAGAGTCAGAAACCATCTGAGGACAGATGGTTTAGTAAAAAAGAACTCTTTGAATCGGCTCCTGATATTGTCTCTGCTTATGAACGTGGGTTGAAGTCTTAAATGTTTCTGCGATGGAACTCGAAATTTGGGTCGGCACGAATGCAGTAACCCTGTTCAGCAGCAGACCGGGGCTCAGAACTTTGCCCCCGGTAAGACAGACTCAGTTGTCTGTGCTGGGCTATGTGACCGAGACATGCCCAGCCTGAGTCTGTCGAGGAGGCTGTGTGACCAAACGCGGCACAAAGGAAATTCAACAGTCAAAGTTAACTGTAGAGTCCAAGGTACCGCGCCCAGGCCTATGGTCGGATACATTCAGGTACCCAGACAACATTCAGGGCGGGAGGAATACAGTTTCTGGCCAATCTGGGCCCTCATTTACATCGAGATCTGGACGGTGCAGGAC